TCCGGCCCGTAGATGAAGCAGGAGTTACTGTTAGCAAAATCCCGCAGGAGCGAAACCCTCGCAGAGATCAGCCTAGAATTGCATTCCATGTGCTTCGAGTTGAGGTCAACGGTCAATAGGACCGGGATACCATCGCTCAGGCACTTGGTCAGGTCCGACTTGATCCAGGGTTGTGAGGGTGAGAGGTATGCTGTCACGAGCTTCATTTTCCTGGTTTCCAGCAGCAGGTGAATGGCAGTTGCCTGCAGTTGCTGCAGAAAAGATAGAGGCACAGGGTAATGTTCCATGCCACTGAGTACAGGGATCACTGTGTCTCCCCCTGCGTAGGGCTGTCCGTCCGGTGGCAAACAGTATTGCTGTAATTTGAAAAAAACCCGTTTAATCAAAGTTAATTAAAAATACCGTGCTATTTGCTTTCGCCGTTGGTCGTTGTAAATCCATACTTCAAATTTTGCTATTGTGTATTTCTTTTTACAAATTTGTCTCGTTACTGCGTTGTTATGTTGCTAAAATGCCTTGCCAATGCATCTGCCTTTTTAACCTACAACATCCCACCCGTCTCCTCCCAAGTTCGGAATGTCTCATTCAAACATGAGCGTCTTTGTAATAATACCTGACTATTAGCTTACCAAAAATTCTGGCATGATGGAACGCTAGAACCTCAACGCGTAAGTTTAATATAATTTCATTTCTTTCCAGCTCAAATGTTATTACGGTCAAAGTCTAAATATTTAATATTAATTACCAACGGGCATGTTTAGCACTTGGCGTGTTTGTTCAAGAAGGTGATGTTATGATGTTGGCTGCACTGCTTTAGCTGCAACGATGAGGGTCTGACGAAGTATGGATTTTTTTAAGAAGACTCGACTAACGTTACAAAAAATATAATTTATCTCTTTCTAAACACCTGTGATGGTAAACAATATACATCCGTGTCACGAGTTACTCGAAAGCTGCACGTCGGTTTAAACATTCAGTGTCCGCTATGAGATATACAGATTTTCACATGTCTTAAATTTTGTTTAATTGCGGGAAAATTTTTTAGGAGTGTTAATCGAATGGACTCCTTACGTAGAAGATATGGCCCATCGATGACTGTTTTCAGTTTTACAAATTAAAAATTACCTTCAACAAGGGAACTGGGCTTTTGTATTGCCCTTTCTTGTATTACGGAGAGCAGAGAGTGATTTTTATTAAATAATTAATTAATTTATTTTTGAAATGAAAACGTCTTTAAAATCGATGCCGGGTGTGGGAAGGCAATCGCGCCCAAATAAGCGACAGTTTCTGTCGAAGTAATTTCAAACTTTAATAACTCGGCTAAAAATAGACATAGCGCCGCCAACTTAGTCTCGTTTTAAAGAGGAAGGATGAAAGTTTGTGCCAATTCCGGTCCGACATTCGTGGCGGCCGGACGTCGCGAACTGCGCACGCGCAAAATGAACCCACGATTTTCGACTTTCCGGATTCGACACTCATCCTGGCCTCCAAGTGTGTATCTCAAAAACTCAAAAGATACCAGGCTGTGAATTTGAAAGAGTTTGAAAATTTCCCGGTTTTCTTAAAATGTCGCGATATATGAGGGCAAAGTACAACTAGAATTACAAAAATCTGGCACGAATGCGTAGAGCACAAAATTCCAAAGAGAATGACACCGAAAACGCCGGGCCCGTACACAAAACTAACGCGCAGTACTGCCGCGAATGTAGGAAACGTAAGTGCGCTTTGACAACTCGGGCGGCATCTGACGAGCCTGGGTCAGGTATGGATGTGGATTTCGTTGCTGATGAGATGTAGAGTGCAATGGAGGTCGACCCAGACCCATCGGACCCACTTGGCACACCCAATATGGCGACGGGGGCCCAAAATTGGACTTGTACTGGGGCCGACAACTGCTTAAAAACATTCAAACGTTTCAAAACAAAAATTTTGTTTAATTTCAATATACTATACACTATTGACGTTTTTACGAAAATAACTGTCTTCAGTGTCCGACACTGCCTATCAATGTTTTTAATCACCTGTTGTATTGCATGTAAAGCTCGTCCAAGCAAAGCAAAACACGTATAAAAAATTCTGCTGCCGACGGACGAAGAAGATTGTACCAAGTGTGTATCTCAAAAACTCAAAAGATACCAGGCTGTGAATTTGAAAGAGTTTGAAAATTTCCCGATTTTCTTAAAATGTCGCGATATATGAGGGCAAAGTACAACTAGAATTACAAAAATC